AGGCGCCCTGTAGCAAAAACCTCTCCAAAAAAAAAAAAAAGAAGAAGAGAGGGTTTTTCTTCTATACTTACCCATTTGAACGGGATCTTCTCCTATACCCTGAGGGACCACAGGGTTTGCTGCCCCTTCTCTAGTGGCACAGTTTTTGCTTCATAGTAGAAAGAGTGAATTAAAAAAGAGGGGAGCTTTATGTCCAACTCCTAATAGTTGTTAATTACCTCTTTTATGCCTGCACCACCGAGGGGTTCTCTATGGTCTCCTGTGCTCCTGTGCCCTGTCTCCAATCTTTCAAGTGAGGACTACTAAGCTTGTGGGAAGAATTTCCCATGTGTCCAAATCTCCCTGCTCACAGACTAGCAATGCTTGGCCTTCAACAATTTGTTAAAACTTTTTCTGACTTACTTTTTAATAAATGTTTTTTTCTTTATACATGATGGAGCACATTCTCATGCACAATAGTGAAAGAGAGAAAGATCAGCACATTCCACAGAGTCTGCTCATGCTGTAATCCCCTTCTTCTAGTCTTCCAGTCCATTGGATCTTGAGCACTCGCACTTGTGCCCTGTATATTTCAGGCTGACCAGGCTGGAAATTTGAACTATAGTTGCCATGTGAGATCAGCTTCTCTTGCTTTATTGCTACATCACAGAGGCGACTTTTTCTGACTTCTGTCAAAGGCTAAATTGTGGGTCCTATTTCCCCTTGGATTTCAGGTTACTTGATTGCTTTGTGACTTCAACTGTCTGATATGCTCAAGAAAATTTATGATTTGGATTTTTCTTGCAAAGGTAAGAAAGGTAAGCTAAATTCCTTGCAGTCTTCCACATCCTAAGCAGAAGTAGAAGACAGACCTAAACTGAAAGGTTGTGCAATTTGCAGACTTAATAATGTTGGAGGAGGAGTGGATGAATACTGGATAGTCAAACTGCAGTGTATATCCAAGTATAAAACTTTATCAATAAATGCCATTCTAAAGTAAGTTTTGTAAAGGAAAACTTTAACTTCGTTTAGACAATATAGAGGTTAAGATTGACTAGATAATGCTAAAGGTGTGAATAACATAATAGTGGCTCAACATTTAGTGGCACAATATAATAGAAGTTGATTTTTCACTCAAGCAGGATGCCCTGTATAGAATGTCAGCACTGGAACTCTGTTCATTGTAGGAGCTCAAGGACCTGGAGAGATGAAGGCTTCATCTTGACATGGATTTCTATGGTAACTACAACAGTAGGAAGGAAACATGGTGAAACACATTCTGATTCAAACATGTCACTTTCAGCCAAAGCAAGTTAATTAGTCACAGCTAACTTTAAAGAAAATCAAGAAGAGCAGATCTTTCTGTCTGGGAAGAGAGAAGCCCTAGAAATGGGTGGACAAGGACAATACTAATGACTGCCACAGGGAGGTAGTCCCGCTTTATCAACCAATAGCAAAAAGGTAATGTGCAGTCAATATGCAGGTGATGTAAGTTGAGTACTGTTAAATCCAAAGAAATCAGGATTAATTTAAAATTAGAATGGCAAGTAGATAGAAAGTCAGTATTTAGCCACTATGTCAGTTTCTGTTGTTGTATAGAAATCTACTTCATGTTGACAAGCTATCAGTTGGCAGGGTGTATTTGAATCCTGTCTTTGTCACTTTTAACCCAGTAAGATTCAGGTCAGCAGGTGGTGTAGTGGTTAAGGCGCTGGAACTCTCAATGATGAACTTTGATTTGGGTCCGGACCTGATAGCTTGAAAATCATGCTGGATGCATGGGCATGGGTGCCCAAAATCATGAGGGGAGACTGGAGGAGGAGAAGGGATTGGAGTGTTGCCATCACCTCTGAGGGGAGATTTCTCACTTTCCTTCTCTCTAAGTGAGCACACATGCCCTATGGCAAAAATCTTATAAAGCAAAACAAAACAAAATAAGAAACCCAGTATGACTCAAAATCAAACCTTTCAGCTTCTTGTTCTGATTGTCTCTTCATATAAGAATAATTTTATAAGAATTTTCTGTAGAAAAGATAAAGATAACTAAGCTTTTTCCTTTAGTTGGTTAATTATAGTTTTATATTATTGATAGGTTAGAAAATTTTCTTTCAGCTTCGTAACTTATTGTGAATATTGTCACATAAATTTTAGAGACTATTGTTGAATATGGGGAAATCTCCAATAGGTTAAAATAAGACTTAAAAGAGTTCAGGGCACATCAGATTCCCTTAAACCGATGAGTCTTGTTAGTTTGTCAAAGATGTTTTCATTAAATTCTGACAGAGAAGACTTTGGTGTTTTTTGGTTAAGTACTCAAATCTTTTTTTTTTTTTTTAAGTTTGTTTATTTGTTCTATGAGTGAAAGAGATAGAAGAGCGCTACAGATAGAGATATACCATTCAAGACAGGAACTAGATGCTGGGATCTACTCCCACCTTCAACCAGGCCAGATCATGGGCACATGCATGCCTAGCATACTTAAGAAGGTCTCTGGCCTGAACCAGGAACCTGCTCATGTGTGTCCTCCTCACAGAGTGTCACATTTTACTGTTGTACCACTGTCTGGCCCCCAGCACTTCTGAAAATTTTACACATGTAATAATTGGAAGGATTTCCCACAGATTAATTTCTGCTTCTCGTACACTTTCTACAAAATTTTTTAAAATTAATCTTTTCCATGAGAAAGAGACAGAGAGAGATAGAGAAACAGTCACTTCCAATAAAGTCTTCATGTTTCCATTGGCCTCCCACTCACTCCCTCCCCCCATCCTATCCCAAGTCTCAGCTGGCCCAGATCATGGGCATTCACACGTGCTCAGGGAGGTGTTGGGACACAAACTCAGGACTTTGCCCATGTAAGTCCAGTTGCGCTACCACTGCACTAGTACCTTGCCCCTGTCCATATATTTTTGATGTTAGAACATAGGGCACATCCAAGTAACAATAAAGAGGTCTGGCCCCATACCTTTATTTTACAATGCTGGGTAGGTCAGCATGATGGTTAGTAGGAGTATTCTGGGAAGCCAATCCTTGGCTGGGACAGCTGGTAATATCCTAACCACACATGGAAATGACTGTGGGTTTCAAAAATATATCCCACTAAACTCAAACCAAATGTATCTCTAACTCAACTTTCTTTTAGCTAAATTTTAAAAACGCCCCCTAGCTATTCCAACACCACTATACTAGGGGAAGCATGACAGAGGAGAAGTCACTGAGGACTAAAGATTACAATTAAAATATCTTACCTTTACAAATTTTACAAAAGCATATTACTATGTAAAAACATTGCTAGGGTCCCTTTCAAGGACTTGGAAAGAGCTAAGTGGAAAGAAGGATCCCTGAAGCTGACACTTCCTTGGTTTCACAATAAATCTGCCTCAGCATTGAACAATTCTTTGGTCTCATGACCACTTCACACTTCTAGAAAGTATTGAGGACTCCAAAAAGCTTTTATGTGGATCATATTTATCAACATTTACTATATTAGGACATAAATGTTATACCTTATGAATTCATTAAAATTACTACAAATATTTTTCTTTTGAATTATTTTTATTTAACTTTATTTTTTTATTTAAATTTGACCATAGAGGGACAGAGTGAAAGAGAGAATGGGTAAGTGAGAAAGCAAGCTGCCAGGTCCAGGACTCAAACCGTGGTTGGTAATGTGGGAGTCAAGCATCCTTAACCACTACGCCACCTACCGACCCTCAAGTATTATTATCATTACATGTTAATAACATTTTTATAAATGAAAATAACTGTTTTTCCAAAACAATAAGAATTTAGTGAGAAGAGTGGCCTTTCACATTTTTTCACACTTCTTTAATGTCTGGCCTTTGAGGACAGTCTCATGTCTGCTGTATTCAAAATACTGTAATATCACAGGACATACTGTTTCTGCTAGAACTCACTGTGGTGTTATTACAGTGAAAAAGGCAAATTTTTAGTATGAAAATAATTTTGACTTTCTAGGCCTCCTCACTACACGTTGAGAATCACTGATTTACACAATACTTCATCTACTTTCTAGCTGCCAAGGAGTCTCCAAATACCTTTTCTCTATTTTTGTATCTATTAATTAACCCACCTTTCAGATAAGTGTCAAATGTTAATTATTGCTACACTTTTTAACACACACGGAAGACTTTAGAAACAATTATTTTTAATGAACTAAATGCTCCCTGATAGTAAGATTTTCTTTTTTTAGGACTAGGACTAAGACAAATGTTAGACCAAGACCAAACATAACGTTGGATGCTTTGTATAAATGACTTAATGTCACAATCGAATAGAATATTTACCAAGGTCCTTCCGTGTTCTAGGCATGTGTTAACGGTTCACACACACTGATCTCTTTTAATTCTCACCGTATGTAACGAGGTAGGGAGTACCATGGTTCTCTCTTACCGCAGAGGACGATGAGGACTCAGATACTAACAGGTTGTAAAAGCCCAACTTCATACAGGTCTGAGCCAGGATTGCAATCTCGATAATTTGAACCTGGATCTCTCAGTCTGTTATCTACTCACTGATAAGAGTATAAAGGTGGGCGATAGCATGAGAGATTGTATAAATGACTAAAGAGGTGTGAGAGGTGGGTTAGTGAACTGAGATTCCACGGCTGGATTACTTTTCACTCCAGGTTTCCTTTCTGCTTTTTTCTACCCTCCCACGTTGCTCTTCTCATTTTAAAGAAATTTCATTACTGGTGGCTTCGCCGACTAGGTCTAACGCTGACCCTCCAAGAGTTAAGTTGAACGGGCGAGGAAAACCCCGTGGTAACCACGGTAACGGTAGCGTGGCGGGACCCCTGCGCAGGCGCTCTACAGCCCAGGCCGGCCTGCCAGCTCCACGGCCGCGGGCCCCAGCCACTCCTCTCCGCCTCAGATTCCACCGGCCCGCAGCGGGCGGGGGCGGGAGCGAGGCCAGGGCTGGGCGCCTGCGCAGTCGCCGGGACGTTGGTGTGATCGGGCTCACGTAGCGAGGGCTGCAGTCGCCTCCTCCCTGGCGCTGCCGTCGCGGCCTAGAGGTTATAAAAGGGCTAACTGGCTCCCTCTGCTGCCCAGTTGCGCCGCCAGCGGCTGAGGGCAAGGAGGAGGTAACTCGCCCAAGCGCAGGCGACACGGGGCTGAGGAGCGCACCGCTCTCTGGTCCCGCTTTCCAGGTGAGTCTCACCGTCGACCGTGGAGACCGAGGCCGAGGCCCTTGGACAGCCGTGGACCTTCTCGGGCGGCGGCGGCCCGGGCTCTCCTCGCTGTGGTGGGATGGCGTGGGGGCGGGCGTCCTCCAGTTTATCACAGCAGCTTTGGTACCTTTAATTCTGGACACTCGGCCTCTCGCCCGCGCCACCGTCTGCCCCGAGAGGCCTGGCTGCCCTGGCCCCCGGGACTCCCCTTCCCACCTCTGCCGCCGCTGCGCCTCGGACTGGTGGGGTTGGGGCAGTCTGTGTCCCCGCCCCGGGGACTAGGACCTTCTTGAATATTCCTTCCCAGAAAGGAATCACCCTGCCTTTTTTTTTTTTGCCGAGCTCCCTCCGTACCTGGTCCTCCCCGCGAAGCTGAAGGGAGCGCGAGGGCGGGGAGTGGGATTTTGGCCGCCACAGCCGCAGATGGTTAGCATGTGGCAGCGGGGAGGCGGATTTTAGAGTTTACTGCTGAAGCCGAAGCTCCCCAGGCAACTTGTCCTATCGAAGAGTTGTCGGTTCGGGGCAGCGGACCTCTCCAGAAAGTTCGGGCTGAACTCATCTGTTGCGCGCAGCGGTGCTGCCTCAGCAGCGAGACGTAGCCTGGGGCGCCGAGGTTAGGGCTGCGCGCGGAGGAAGTCGGCTGTCAGATTGCCCCGCGGCCGGGAAGCCTGGCTTCTTCCTTCCCTCTTCTTCCCCCGAAGTTCTTTTACAGACGCATGAGCTTCCCCCTTCTCTCAGCAGAGAGCTGGCAGCTTTCAAAAGTCCACTTCAGTCAAATGCGTGACTGTGTGAAAGTTTGACTTGCATTACTTGATTGGCCCCGGGTTTAGGTTCAAGGGGAGGAAGGATAGTATCCTAAGTCTAATTCTTACTTCTCTTCAGTGGCATCTGTTACATACAAACTCAATTGTAGACACTAACATGCCATACATTCCGAGTAGAATGAAGACTCTTGAAATTTTGCATTGTTTCCTTGAAGAAAGGAATAAAGAAAAAGCTAGGTACCCCTTCAGGAATTCATCTAAAAGTCTGAGAGAGTTGCCAATTTCCTCTTAACCATTTCTGATGTCTCCGAGAGTTGTAGCTCCTGGGCTTTCTCTCGGAATGCACTGAGGGGATGAAATAGCCTCTGTGTGAATGGGGGAAGGGAAAAGACGTGGCAGCAGTGTTCTTTCAACTTTTTGCCTTTTTTTTTTCCCTAAAGGTTCTGGGAAGAAACGTATTTCCCATTTTAGATTTAGAGGTAGCTTATGAATGGGGCTAGTCTTTATAAAATAATCAGATGAAAAATTCAGTCTGCAAAGCAGAAAGATTGGAAATAAATATTTAAAAATTTAGGGGATCATTTGATTACATTTCTGTGGAGAAAATCGATACTTTAAGCAAGAAATATCTAAGAAGCTGGAAGTGAACAACTTTGAATATATTTTGCCTTGATTTGAAATGTGAATAAGACATTCTGTGATTTTTCTTTAACTTTGGCTTTTAGTCTGTGAGAGTAACTTTTCATAATCTTATATGAATTTTACCCTTTTCTGTGGGAAGTATAGATTTTATCACTTACCTTTAAAAGTCATATCATTTGGTTTTGGAACATTATGCCTTAAGTCCTTACAGTGTTTTTTGATAACTTACGGCAAATGTTTCTTAGATTTACACAGACTAGGGAAAAAAGAACTGCTTTGTCTATTTTAGCTGGATAATACTGTTTCCATTAACATCTTGAATGAGTTTGATTTTGAAGTACTGAAAACCAGGACTTTGATAAGAGGATAATTACACTGACCATTTTGTGTCTTGGTAACTTAGGTGGTAAAACAGAAAAAAATGTGTACAACTTTAGATTATTGCCACAGAATTTAGACATTGCAAAAGGCTTCTGAAGAAAGAGTTCTATGTTACCTATGAGGTCTAGGCTTTTGCAAGTGAATCTTGGCTTTCTGGTAAGACTATATTAACCTTTTCTCTTGCTGCAGATTAGTCGTTTACTGACACGTGGTCCATATCTTTCATAGCACAATTAGGTTCAAATTCTGACTTTTGTTACAAGTATGCAGGAAGAGTTGAGACAGCCATAAAACTTGTGATCTTTCATTTCTGTGGAAAGAAACTTAATTTACTTAGGAATTAATTTTCAACTAGGATCTAATTACTGCTCTTAGATTGACCTATAAGATACACAGTAGTGGTTCTTGACCTATTTTAAGGTCATGAAATCCTTTGGGAATCTGATGGAAGATGTGGACCTACATCAGTAAATGGAAATATAGGGAGCCAGATTCCACATGGCCAACTAGATGGAATCTCGGTCCCAGTCCCTTGAAAAAACATGCCAAGCACATGTGCGTGTGTACACAGAATCCTGACAGGATGGAGAAATGGAGGGAAAGGGATTTTGGTGTGGCCACTCCCATTGGAGGGTGTTTTTGGTTTTGTTTTCACTCCCTCTGGCAAGCACATATGTACTCTGACAATTAAAGGAAGAAAGAAAGACCCAATATACACATCTGCAGAATTTTGTGTACCATTTCCTGCTTGCCCCCAGCCCATCCATGAACTCTATTACAAAAACTCCTAAAAAAATATTGAAGTTATTCTTTAAAGATATCTAGGTAGGCTGGCAGGTGGTGTGGTAGTTAAGGTGCTGAACTTCCACATGGTTAACCATGGTTCATGTCCCGGACCTAGTAACTTACTTCCTCACTTTTCCTCTCTCTGATCAAATTTAATAATAGTGACAATAGGGACTAGCAGTTGGTGTAATGGCTATGTTGCTGGACTCCCATGTAGTCAACCGCGGTT